ATTAGAGTGGAGGAGATCAACTAACATTTACAATTGTAAGCAATTTGTTAAATAGGAAGTTGATGAAAATATGGCCATGGGCCTTAACTACTGCCCTCTGTATTTTTTTTTCCAGAAATTGAATGTCTGGTGAGGTGAACTTTTTGCTGCATGGCTAATAGACCAAGGAAGGTGAAAACTGAGGCTGGCAACTTCCTTAAATGTCTTAAAATTGTTGTATCTTGAAAGCTACACTGGTTGTTGAGCAATGAGCATAAAACTGCATTTCATCAGGCTCAGAATATAAAGTACAGCTTTCAAGTCTATAATTCAGCATTGATTCTTAAGTTTCATTTTCCATTTGCACACTGAAACTAGCAATAACCATCCAGTAAATCTTTTCATGGCATTTAAAAGTAATTTAGACGTTTAATTGTTCCAGGGTGCACATAAAGTCCTTGGTGCAGTAAAAGTTCAGTGTAATTTTATATTTTAAAATGTCATTCAGTAACATAGTAGGAACAACAAGCAAACGTGTGCTTTATTTAATTAACTTTATATTGGAATTCAATTGCTGGTGGATTTCAAAAATAGGATTGAACTTTATTTACCATTCAGAAAAGGAAATGGGCAAAGAACAGACTTTTTTTTTCAAAATGCTTCAGGAAAATGTTTCTGAACACCTCTTGGTTTTATATAGCAAAGAATAATACACAATCTGTCAAGCTAACCTCTTCTTAAGAGTTATTTTTCAAAGGCAAATATAATTTATTAGGAAGATAAAAAATCCTATTTTAACCAAGGATTTTTTGTTAGGTAGTAAAATGTGGAATGAAAACAACATTCAGAAGCAAAATGTTCTAGCTTAAAGTATCCTGCATACTGTACATGACATTGATGTAAATGGGATTGTTGCTTTTCCTCTTCTTTTGAAGATGTGAGTCTTAATAATATACCTACTCTCAGATAATATTAAAATAAAAATCTGAAAGTAATTTTGGAAGACACAAACAGTTCACATTTTGCAAAGTCTGTCTCTAACAACATTTTGCCAACAACAATGAAAGTTGTTTTAGCAACTTTCTCTGAAGCTCTTTATAGGTGAACCATTTGGATAATTTGCTACTTTTTTCAAGTTTCAATTTTAGCTAGGTATTTATTTCCATCCTTTCTATCTTTTTTGATGTCTGATATCTTTTGGTCAGGCATCCAGATGTTCGAGCACAGAAAATTGAAAGAATTGAAACCATATGTGTCTGAAGAACTGTTCTGATGTTCTTCTCACTGTACACTGTATATAAGAACTGAACCCTTTCAGTCTTGAACAGAAAAGACTATGAGGGATCTTGATACAAGTACAAGTATACAAGTACTAGACTACTTCCAAATGAGCAGTCAGACAAAAGCAAGGGTTTAAAACTGAGAGCGCATGTCACTACTTTACCAAAAGAGTTGTAGGAGTATGGAACAAACTACCCAGCCATGTTATTGAAGCTGAAACCCTGGTTCATCCTCAGAAAAGGTTGGATGTGATCCTTTTAATGAATTATCTACTGACTACCAAACAGCACAGGTGGGCTGAAAGGCCTCCTCCTGTTTATAAGTCTTTTTGGTCATCTGTAGTGAAAGATTTAAATCTTATAATAAATGTACAGTGAAGTACAGTACAGTGAATTTTCTCTGCCAATCTTGTCCATCCTAAATTGCCCTGCATCCTTGCTGATCATCAAATGGTAAATTCATACATATTATAGGAATCACTGCTAATGTATCAATTATGGTGCTTAAGTAGTGGCCCTGTGTGCTTTCTGCAGTTATAGCCTGCTGCAAGCCTGCCTTAAAGCTGAGGTGAAGTTATAAAACACTGATCACCTCATGGCTGATGCCTCTAGGCTGTACTTAATGTGCCGCACCACAGTAATACAAACTATATTAGTTTAAGTATGGTTTATTTATCTCATCTTCTGTCTTTTTGCAAAAAGCTGTGGGAGTCTGGAACAAGCTCCTCAGTCATTTTGCTGAAGCTGATACCCTGGCTTCCTTTAAGAAATGGCTGGAAGAGATCCGAAGATCGATTACTTCCTAGCAACCAGATGAGCTGGGTGGCCTTAATGGCCTCCTCTCGTTTGTAACCTGTCTTCATGTTCTTATTTACATATGGACCTTGCCAAGTCTGAAGCTGCTGCTGTCGGAGTTTAAATACCCAGGAGCATGAAACCTCTGCCAGACTTGGTCAGAGCAGACTGAGGTTGTTTGTGCTGCTGCACAAGACACGAGAACACGTGAGATTAGGAAGTGAACTGCACTCAAATTCTTCTTAGTTTCACTGGTTCTGGATGCCTCATTGATCCCTGAGCTGTGGCGTATTATAGATACAAGATTGAAAAGTATGATTTTGCAGGTTACCTCTCCCAGTTCCCTGCAGTTTGCAACCAATCAAAACATTCTGAACTCCCACATAGGATCAATGTGGTTGAATCACACAGTGATTAAAAACAGAAATGAATCTTCTCATTGAAGCAGAAGCTCAATATCATTTCACCTCCAACAGCAATTCTAAAACATCTGTCATATAAAGAGTGAGTCTCTGATTTCCAAAGAACTGAAATGTTTGCCAAGGAGAAGCTGACTTCTTTTACTTTATCAGACACTCTTCAAAGTGGTGGTTACAAAGCAGGAGATCAGCACTAACTACCAAAGTGCAAAACCAGGTCAGCCACAAACCAGAGCTCTGCACATCTTCTGGAAGTTCTTTCTGGGAAATCATGATGTGATGAGGTGGTGAAGTTTATATGCCAGTAACTCATTCTTTCATTCTCTTTAATAAGCTGTGTTGCCAGAAGCTTGAACAATGCCCAGACAATGTGGTTTTCAGTATCTGACCTCCTGCTTTTGCCAGCGGAAGCTTAATAAGGCTTTGTTTTACTAAAACATTAAAAGGATGACTGGCAACATCATTTGAAGCTCAGTTAAGCAGCAGTGGAGTTTTTTGTCAGTTCAATTTCCTGATGTGTGTTTCAGTCCTAGATATACTTTTTACAAGGGATTCTTTAATCATAGAACTTGCAGATTTTAGAGGTGCAAAACTAAGCCTCAAGGCATTTTAGATAACTTATGTTTTGCTGGTGCAACCTTAGACCTAGAAACTCTTAGATGAGTGCTCTGTCATTGTCCTTTATCTGATAGTAAATACATTTTATATCTTACTGTTCACACAGACAAAACGTTATATTAAACCCATCTGTAACAGCACCATCTCTTCACTTTCTCCTGAAGGGAACCTGATGGGCCCCATTTGTTCAGACTAGGTTGAAAGATTTCCAAGGAGTGATGTTTTGTTTCAAAGTTAAGTAGTTAATCTAGTTAATCTACTTTCAAATTAAGTAGTAAATCTAGGCTGTTTTTAAATCCAAAATACACTACTCCTTTTCTATATGTAACTGTATTGCCTTATGATTAATTAAGAGTAGCTTTAAGGAAATTGTTGTATACAGTAGATTAACCACCCTTTCACTATAATATTGAAATACCCATATTTTGTTGACTTCTAACAATACATATCCCTGAAACTCCTTTATCTGTGCTAGTTTTAACTAGTAGTTATAGATTGATCTCAGTGTTATGTAGTGGAGGTGTCATCAAACAGAAGCCACCATCTTGGCTCAAAACTCAGGCCCCACCATTGGGCATTGGTTTTGAGCCAAGATGGTAGCTTTCACATATGCGGTAACCAGCTCCACTACATAACATTGCATTAAATGTATAATTACTAGTTAAAGGTAGCACAGATGAGGGGTTTTGACATATTTATTGCTAGAATGAAAGGTGTTTGTTAGAAAATGTAGTTTGAGTTTGAGACCAACCTGGAGGTTAATGTATTGCTCAGAATGTACAATCTATATGCTCTCTTCAGCCTGTACATACTAATTAAGAAAAAAGAGTATATCCAGCAGTGCCCTCCTTGATCTCGGCATGAAACATTTTTTGCATGCCTTTTCACACCTTTTTTCATATTGTCACAAACCTATCAGAAAGAATACATTTTAATCCACCCTTCCAAACCCTACTCCAACCGTCTGCACATCCATGTGGCTTTTCCCAAATAGTTCTCCTCAGCCTCGAAGTGAATAAGCCTTTACACTCATCCTGATGAGAACTCCACTGTCAACACAAATATGCCTTGCACTGTTCAGTGTCCCTCTGAATACAATGAGCACAAAAAGCCAGACAGAATGCATTTATAATAGAAGATATAATTGGGTTATGAGGGGGAAAGAGGAAAACAAAGTGAGGAAATGAAGCTAATAAGGGCAGAATATGAATATTAAAACAGCTTTATGCCTGTGTTTTTCCAGCAGATGTTCACTGACAGTGAACCTTTACAATCTGCTTTGTCAATAATAAAAGGAAGGCCTTCAGCTCAAAGGTCAAGGACTTTAAGACCAAAGGGAGACACTGCTTCCCAGTTGCAGGGTGATCTGTGAATCCCATTAAATCTTAATGAAATGGTTTGCAGGGCTCAGCAGCATTTAATCTGGCTTATACTTTACATCTGATCTATTCCCTTACTGTTTAGCTATTTACAAAGAGCAAATACATTTTTTTCTTGAATCATTACACTAAAAATATATATATATAAAAAGAAACAGAACATGAAAACAGAGTGCCATTATTTCTCAAAACTGGAGAAACTGGGACCCTGGCAATAAATATCGACTCTTAAAAAACCTTAACCTTACTTTTAATTTAAACATTTTTTTTTCACTGTACTGCTTGGATGATTCTGGGCTATCTTTACTGTGCAAAATGATGAAATGCAGTCCTAGAAGCAAAAGGGTGTTAATTATGTATGGGAATATTAACCTCAATACTTTGTCTGAGGAACTGTTTGCAGTAAAAATGGATATAGCATCTAGTCTCCAGAATGAGAAATAGTGTTTATCATTTATTTACTACACACTGCTATTGCCTCAGGAAGTGAAGTTTAAGTGTAATGTCAACAGACAAAGGATCATACTCACAGCCATCTGCCCAGCCTTGTGTTCACCCTTCAGGCAGTGGGCCATCTGAATTCATTCAATGCCAATATATTAAAAAAGCCAAGAAGAATTACAATAGCATGCTGCAAGAAAGAAGAAAAATCATTTCTCCAAGCACTTCTAGCTTTATTTCACCTTCCTTAATCAATAGCACTGCCTCATTCCTTGAACTGGAAGTCCGCTTTCCACCTTAGATGGAAAACAGTCATCTCTCGAATTGATATGCATTTGAAAACTAGCATCTTAACTTATTTACATTATCATATTTATGAAAAAAAAAAAGAACTGCCACTGTTACGGTAGTTTTTTGTAATTGCCATTCAGAACAGCTCACCGGAGATGCCTGCCTCTGCATTAACTTTAATTACATTTTCAAGTTGTGCTCTCCAGATAAATTACAATAATAAAGTTGACATACAGCAAGTCCTTCACTTTCTTTTCTGCTGCGTGTGTATGTAGGTAGATATTTAAATTTGCAATTAAATGCAATCACATGTCATAATTATCCTTTTAGTCATATTGATTTTTCAGCTGTGATATGTTTCTTTCATCCTGTCTTATTGACTCGATTAGAGTGCTGTGTCAAGTTAATTATTCACAATTGGGGCACTTTCCTATCAAGAAGCTGATCAATAATTTTTGCTTCAGTGATTCCGTGACTAGAGAGGAGTATATCATAGGATAAGCTATGGAACTAGAGTTAAATTTATGCAATATGTATGAGTAAATATAAATCTTCAGATACAGAGTACTTTTAAGCCTCGTTGAAATCTGAGGTCCATAGGGAACATGACACTCGACCAGAGGATTGTCCTGCTACACAGATTTTTACAGTATGTGCACCGCATTAGTGATTGTCATTCAATACCCAAACACTTTTGCAACCATTATACGTCCTTCCATTGTTCTGGTATTTTAGTATGTCTCTCAGAGTCGTGATACAAAAAGCACAAGGTTCCTTTCTGCAGGAATAATTTTTCTCATCCAGAATTTGCAGCAATTAAATAAGCTGCTCCCTTCTCCTATTTTGTAAAGTATGTTGATCCTTAACCTCTTCTCTAAGGGCCTGCGGTTTTGTGTGTCACATTAGTGTCTAGATGATGGACATTAGGATAGGGAGAAGCATCTTGCTGTAATGACATTACCTGCAGGTCTGATCTTTCATTTGTTGTTTTTTGGACTTGCAGATTGTTCCCTTTTTTTGCTTTCAAAACATTTCTTTAATTATTTCTAAGAATATAGTTATATACTAAGAATATAACTAAGTTATAAAACTAAGACTGCTTTTTTAAACTCAGGAATCTTAAAATGATCCATAATCTTTTTTAGTCACACTTTACTCACTACTTAAAAATGCTTTTATTATTTGCAGTGTGAGACATTTGATTATTGTACTATTACCTTTTGAAAAATGCAATGTGTTTCTCTTCACTGACAATATATACTGTTTATACACAGACTGTATGGGCACCAGCTAGCCAGTGTTATATGTAAAAATTCCCATCAAAATAAAAAATGACACTGCGAATGTTTTTCTATTATAGTCTGTATAGTGGAAAGTACTTTTAATTAGTTTTCTACTTTCAATATGTGTCCATTTCCGCTGACACAAATTTGAGTTCATTATATATTATAAATTAAAATAAAAATGTATAAAGATACTTTTTCTCTAAAAGCCACAGAATAAAAATAGATAATAGTGCAGATGTCACTGATTTATTCTGAATGTGCCTGAAACTCGCTTGTGTAAGCAGGAGGTTCTCAAACAAATTGTTTTCTTCAAGATTGAAGGAATTAGCAATAATTGTGCTTCACAGAGGGCACAGTAGTGATAAGTGAAGAAGATGGGATTGATTGGAGAATCGCTTCATTTTGCCTATTCTTACACAGCAGAGAGTGTTGTATTTGTAAACTAAAGTTTAACCGTTGTTTTTCTTAATGGGTAGCTACAGCCATTTAATGGAGTATGACATTGAATATGGCAAACAGCACTGGAACTCAAGTGACTTTGTTGCACAGCAAACATAAAGATGTTATATTTAAGCCAAGCCTTTTAGAGGTTCAGGCAGCCCAGTATGGGATTTAATTAACTTACCAAACTAATACAATTACTGTTACTGTAATTTACATTGCCTAACAGAATGATCTGTGTGCCTAATGTTTTGTTCGGCTTTTGTTCAGGTTTTGCACTCAAATGCAGTGGCAATATCCGTTTTTCTAAAAAATATTGTGATTGGTATTATCAAAAAGGCTGTGTACATGAATCAGAATGGATCTTCAAGGTCACTATGTTACTCAGCCTTGATAAAATATCTGTTTTTAATCTTTCTTCAGAACTGTTCATTCCTGATGTTTTTTTTTAAGTTTCTTTTATGAAATAATTGTGGGAAACAGAAGTTATTGAAAAAGCTAGATCCCTGCCAATAATATCCTGATAAAATAGTTTTATTGCAATGTCTATCTTATTTGTTTTGTGTTTCTTTCTTTCACTACTGATAATCTCCAACATTCTGTTGTCACAACTGCTGCATGTTATAAGATATAATGCTGTTTTGTACAAAGCGAAAATGCACACACTTTTTATATGTGGCCAAGAGTAATAGTTTTAAAGCCCAAACCAGCAGTGCGTGCTTTAAAACACCCAATCTTGTGATTCAGTAAGATTTTGTATGGGTCAGGTCACAAAGCTGCCAGACTTTTAGGTCACTGTCTGCGTCAGCATCATCTGAGAGCCGGGGCTTTACACTGGAGAGGGCTTAGTAATTAAAACTCTAAGACACCCAAAGCGTTCCAAGTCAAGGTTAATAGAATCTGAGCCGCGGAGCTGTTGTGTGTTAGTGACTTTCTGACCAACAGTTGCAAACTGCTGCTCTGACGGACTGGGGTCAAACTGGAAACACCTGTCCCTGAACCAGAGGGAAATGATGAGGCAAAAAAAAAACTCACACAACCTCAGAGTAGTGTACTGCATGTCCTATAATTGAGCCACAATTCTACAGTATGTGCTTAATTTGCTGAAGGAAAGCACTTTCATTTAAAAAGAGAGAATTTTGTAATTTTCCTGAGGTTTCTAGATAAAGATAGCGCTCAGAAACATGGCTGGTGTCTTTCTACCAGCTGTGTGATTTAGTGAAAAGTAAACGTACAGCTACCAGAAGACTGCACCTTGGAGTCCCAGCTGTTTTTTTTTTCATATGTGCTCAGCTGCGTCTAAGCATTAGTCAATAAAGTTTTCTTTTATGGTACCACAAACAAATATATAGAAAAGTTTAAATTTTTGTGAACATTTGTTAACAGAAAGAAATACAGTTTATGAACAAAATAAAACATTAAAGTGAGCATAATGGTCCATAATTCTGATTCCAATCAACTCTGTATCTTTTAAAAAGATATACATTTATATGTGAGGTTTTTAATATTGATGATAAACTGATTTAGAAAATGAAAGCCTCCTCTGGTTCCTTTTAGATTTGAAAATTAGATGGACAGTGCCACTGGTGGTCACCTGGTTTAACTGCATCTGTCCAAACTGATTGTAAAATACCAATGATGATACTTTTCCTGTGGAAACATAAGAAGAGTTCTAAAGGAAATTAGGGCAAACCATCCAGTCAATGTGTTTGCTAGTAACTAATTAATCAAACAGTCCTATCAAAAAAGGGTATTGAGTAGCTTTCACAACTCTTTGTTTAAAGTAGTACCTTCTGTTCTACATTTTAAATACACTTCTCTGTAGTTTTTACTGGTGTCCTCTGGTTCCTGTTTCAATGTAAATTCTGCAGAAGTCTGTTGGGATGGCTGCTCTATTGGTCATTCTGTTTCACCTGGGCAAACCTGAGCTCACAGGTCCCAGTCTCCTTGGCAACCGGTCATATTCACACGCAGAGCCAAACACATCCCAGTGGCATGAGAATGCGATCAGTATGGCTGTCCATGCCACCTACCCCCACTTAACGGGTAATTTTCTCATCAGTGCTGGATTTTAAACCCTTGTCCTGTTCACAGTCAGATGTTCTGTCATTGGAGTTTCACCTTAGTATATTGAAGTGGTCCTAGCACAAACCAGGCAGTCTGTACAGTACCCTGAAATCTGTCTGAAACTGTCAGAGGCATCTGATTCAGTGCCTGAACCTGTACCTGACCACCAGCCAGGTCCCTGCCTGTTTGCTGTTTGGTCACTGACAGCATTTATAGCAACCTCTTTGATCTTCCTGGATGTGGAGCTTTTACTCCGATCTG